CCCGGTGTGGTGCTGCACTGGGCCAGGCGTGGCCACCCCGGCGGAGGCTGCACGAGCCGCAGGGTCCCCTGGGCCAGCACGTGGGCTGGGCAGGAGCCACGAGGAGTTGGTTGCCTGCAGAGGAAGCCCCATGGGACCCCGACGCTACCCCAGCCCAGCCTTGGGTCTGTCTGCACATGCTGCTAGGAAGAAGCAGAGGGCTAACAACTCTGCTTGGGCTACGACAGCCCTCCACATCGAAGCCACCTTCCCCGACCTGCCGTCCTCCCAGCTGCTGGAAGAGCCTCGGCGTTGTGGGCCCGTCACCCAGAAACTTCTCAGAAACCTAAAGCAAAAGAGAGAAGGTCTCAGCTGCACTGGGAGGGCAGGGGTCTGGGGCAGTGGGTGCATGGGTGGGGGTCCCACCATGCTGGGAGAAAGCACAGCCCAAACCTGCCATAGGACGGAGCACAGCCAGCCCTGCTGCCTTTCACTGGTGCGGCTCTGCCATCCCACGGTCCCCCCCGCCCCTTTAGGGGTCTCTGAAATATGGTCCTTATGGCGGGGAGCCAAAGCAGCCTCCGAGCACGGGGCTGTAAGGAGAAACCTCCTCTTCCCCCCTCACTCAGTAATTAGCCCACTTCGCACAGCACCAAGCTCTGAGAAGGCTGAAGAACAAGGTTTAAATGGGATTTAATGAAAATACCAGCACTACCGTGGCAGAGAGCACTGATGTCACGTGGGCTGCACCTCCTTCCATCAGGGCATACGGTAGCCTCTGCCCATCGGGAAGGACTGTGGCATGGACAGCAGTGGCAATCCCACTGCAGAGCGGCCCAGCTCTGGGGGGTCTGCGTTTCTCTGAGTGCGACTCTCAGCTGTTTTAGTGGCTTTGAATCCCAAAGATTCATAATTTCCTTATTATTTTAAACCCAATCTTATTTAACACGGTACAGTGAGAGGTGCAGAATTACTCAATATTGATCACAGAAAGGCTGGGCCACAGAGACAAGATCCATGTTGCTATGTGTGGCTTAGCAACATATAAATGTATTCAAACAGAATAATGAAATTATCGTGGGGAAACAAAGCAGCCATCACTTGAAGAGATGGAGGATGTGGAGGCCTCTTGGAGCTCTTGTTTGCCAAGACAAGGAAGACGGTACTTATTGTTTGTGCAAATATGTGAACCCCCCCCCGGCCATCCCCTGCGTACATAAAGGGGGTAATGAATCCGGGCAGCACGCTTGCTGCAGCACCCAGCTTTGTCCAGCCGGGCTGGAGCTCATTACTGCTGAAACGTGCGGCCTCTCCGCGTGAATTGGGTCCTTGTGGGGGGAGTCCTAACACTGGGGGTTGGGGAGGGATCCACAGGGCAGAGCCTCTGGCCACAGCCACCCTGCAGAACACCTCAGCTCTGTGGTTCTGAAGCTGACCTGGGGTTTACCTGCATTTCAGCCACCCTCACGCTTGTTAACGCAGCACTGGGGGCCCATCCCACCTCCCCACGGACGTCCTGGCCACCTCTTGCCCTTGGAGCCAGCGCGATGCCCACAGCAAGTGCACAGTTGAGGTGCTGGAGGAGAGAAGAGGTGGATCCCACACCAGACCCAGCACAGCTTTCCTGGGAGACTGCTACCAAGTGACTTAAGCCCCAAGCATCCCACCAGTGCCCAGGGGTGCTCCTCCTGCCCAGCCGCCCTCCCCGCTGGGCTGTGGGGCAGGCAGGCTCCTCCAGGCTCGGCACAAACTGCGAGCCGGCTGCTGGTACCACCGTCATTTCATTACAGGCGGATAGATGTTTTCAAATAAAGATACCTGGGGCAAAACATGTCTCTTTGCAATAAAGTATTTCGGGAGAAAACAGACAGAAGAGGGGAAGCAGCGTCTGTTGACATGATTTGTCTCCCGTTCGCCACCAAGCACACAGGTTGATGGTTTGCTTCCCCTGGCAGCTGTTATCCCCAAGAGCTACGCAGCATTTTGCTCTGCTGTACAAGCTGTGAAGACGGAAGCCTGTGCAACGCTGAGCTGCCCTGGGGTCTCCCAGGCATTACTAGAACCGGGCATTACAGCCTTTTCTTTTCTCTTTTTTAAAGGCTGGAAGCACTTGTCTTTGAGCCCGGTGCCGCATGCCGGCTTGCATGTACACAAGTGTGCAGAGGAGTGCTCTTCTGGTTCAAGGAGATCTTCTCGTTCACCCCAGGCTGAAGGACTGCCCAACCGAGGGCTCCCTCGCCCCAGGGAGCGCAAGAAGCCGCTCTCGGTGCTAGCGGAGAGGGTGGCTGTGTGCGGTGCTGCCCTGCACCCACCGGCTGCTTCCATGGCCGTTGTGCATCCGTGCTAGAGGGCAGGCACCCAGCCCAGCCCGGCATCCCCGCCGTCCCCTGGGCAGACCCAGGCTTTTAAAAATATGCTGAAGGCTTACTTGAGGAAACAAAACCAAACTAAAACACCCGCCTCTTTGCACAGCTGGCGTTTAATGTGGCTGGATTAAAATCTGCAGGAGCCGGTGAGAGTGTGAGGGGACAGAGCACCAATGCACGTGCCAGGAGCAGGTCTCGCTGTCTCCGAGACCCCCACTCCTACGCCTGAAATGCCGCAGCACATTTACTCCTGATGCCACTGTTTCTGCCTTGCTCATGTGTCCACTGTGGGGAGGAAAGCTGCAATGCTTCCGGGTGGCACCGTCTTGAAAATAGCCTAAGCATGCCCTGCTTAGACACTTAATGTGGAGCAAAATCAGAAACCTGCTAATGCACTGCTTCCTTTGACAAAAGAACATGTAACAATGCAGAAAAACCAATATCAATCCATTCCCGGCACTTCTCCACTGCACTGTCTGCTTGAGTGACCCCAGCCAGAGACTGCACTGAGCATGCTGGGAGGACTCAGCAGTGGTTGGCAAAAAACGTAAAGGTAAATATGCTACACACGTAACCGGAGGAGCTGGTGACCTGCCCAAAGCCAGGCTGGGAAGTTGGGGTGGGAGGAGGGAGCTGTGGCTGGCCGGTCTCCCCATAGCACTGCCGTTGAGCAGAGGTCTGGGGCTTAGGAGGGATTTCTGGTTTTAATTCTACCCACCTCCATGGTGACATTGGCCTTTCTACAACCTGAAACAGAAGCACCTAAATGGCTGCTTCTAAGCTCATAAATCCAGCCCTGTCTGAACACCCACCCCACCTTCCCTGGCTGCCCTTCTTTGGGAGCAAGTCACTTCCAACACCTCCGGTGCCTTCTGCAGCAGCTGCTGGTTTAAAACACCCTGTAGCAGCAGAGAGGTGTTGCCAACCCTGGAAGCGGGCCGGGTCTTGCCAAGTAGCGAGGTGTGCCAGTCACTGCTGTGCCCCACAGACAGGCAGGGCGCTCAGCATCAGGTCCCTGTAGGTCCCCACTGCCCCTCTGCTCCCTTCCAAGGACCTGCAGCTTCCCTGTCCTGGAGGGGCCCGAGGAGCTGGTGTGCAGCAAGTTGGAGGCACAGAGAGGCAGCAAGAAAGGTGCAGAGACACAGGGAGAAACCAGGTGGGTGCTGTGAGATGGGCAGCCTTGGCTGAGCCCCCACCAGTGCTGCTGGGGCTTCATACCTCTCCCCTCTCCCTGATCTGTTCAGGGGGACACGGATCTCCCACCCTGACCAGGACTGCAGCCACCAGTGCAGTTTGGAAATAAAAGGTCTCCTAATGACTGAGCAAAACCCACCAGCCCCCTGGGCAGCCCTCCACCACGCAACTGCAGGCACCAGTATCAGCAGTAACAAAAATTACAGAAAATGATGTAGGCAAATGTTACCTGAGGATTTGAACGCTGTCAGCTCCACAGCCTGAAAGAGGGAAGAACACGTGTTAGCAGAAGGTACAGGTCTGACTGCTTCTCTGCTGGCTACTCCCCAGGACCGAGCAGTGCTCCCCCAGCACCCAGCTGCTGCACCACACTCTCCCTCCCACCAAGCACAGGCTGGGACCTGGAGCCTTCACCCCAATCCAGAGGGACAGGCACTTTGCAGAGAGCCCCTGGACACAGTGCCTGTGGGGTGAGCTGCTGCCCTGATCCGCTCCCCCTTCTCTGGGGACCCCTCCAGCCCTGAGGTGACCCAGCGGGCTGGAGACGACATGGAAATCCAGAAGAAGCGGAGATAGAGCTTTCTGCCCCATGCTGTGGTGGAAAGAGCACACCAAGCTTGCACCTGATGGTTAATAACTGATGGTTAATGCTCTTCGAGGTGTGGAATTCCTGCTCCCAGCCCAACAGCCACAAACATCACCAAACAACATTTAAAAAAGCTGAAACACAAAGAACATCTCGTCTGTGTTTGTATCTTCACCCGCTCAGTGTTTTGTCATTTTAAGTGTTTTCAAACGTTTTTAAGTAGCATCTTCTCTTCATCCAAACTATTGTGCAGCTGCCAGTGACATTCTTCATTCACCGCTCCTCCAGCGAGTGCCATGACTCATTTAGCCAGGGAGCAGGAAAAACAGCACTGGCTTACGTAACTAAGGAGCACAGCCTGCAGCACCTATCCCAGAGCAGCACCTATTCCACAGAGGGTAGCACCCACGCCGACCGCCTCGCAGGGAAGATGGGCTGGAGCACCGGGAGCTGCAGCACCCATCCGCACGGGCAAGGGGCCGTGCCCCCTCTCCCTCACCTTTTGAGGGATGCTGTTAGTTAGAAAGGAAACAAGGGTGTGAAAAATGCAGTGTTGAAGCAGCACAGATAGAGCGAAATCCTCGGTGACCCTCACACGGAGGAAAGCGCTTTCTGTCCGCCTGCTAGGGAAATGCCACAGCCTTGGCATTTCCGAGATCTGCTGCCTCCTAATGCTCCCTGCCTGAGGAAACTGCAGCCCCTGGGCTAATCCCTCTGGCCCACGCCTGGTACCTGGTGCCAGGAGCTTAGCCCTGCTCCTGGTTTACACAGCCAGCACCTGGCTGGCTGAGAAAAGCGTCACCTACGAATGAATTCCGGTCGGCAATTCAGCACGAGGGGAGGAACGGCATTAAACACAATATAAATCAGGAGAGATGAAAATGTGGATTTTATTGAGTGGCTTCAAAACGATATGCCAGCTACAGAAGTATTATCTATTGGATAAATAAGAGCTGTCTGTGTGACACAGGTTTTCAAAGGATAAATATTAGAGAGGGAGAGAGAGATCCTTCAGTGAGAGACTCATATGAAAGTAGTGTTGGATTTTATTCTGAGGAAATTACAGCACTTGTATGTCAAGTGCACAAGGACTGATGATCATTTCAATAGTGGGAGATGGAAGTGGTATCAGAGTAGTCAAATTTAAATTGTTCCCTGCTTTCGGCCATACCTTGCTGAGCTGCACATCCCACTCCTGCAGGCAGCACAACCCAGCCTGCCCTCCCTGGGCAGATGCGGCTCACCCACCGCAGGGACAGCAAGACCCTGCTGCTGGATTTTAATGTGGTGTCCCTGGGGGAAGTCTCCTGCCTTGATCCATACCAACTTCGTGCTTTACTGGCTCAGGTTCACTGGCTCTTTCTGTTCCTGTCTGCCCCAGCTAGTCACCCTCCTGGAATGGCAGCGGGGAGTTCCCCATCGGCTCAGGGGTGAGCTCTCACCTGGGAAACTGGCCATGCTGGGGGCTCCTCCTCTCCTGCCCCCGGAACACGCACCCTCCCCAGCCCACCTTGCTCTCCATCTTTTGTTCCTACAGAAGACAGCAAACAGTTGCATCTGGCTTGGCTACCAGGAGTGGCCACGGTAGGCATGAAAACACTCAACTCAAATGGTTTAAATTACTTAAATCAATATGCTGCTAATGCCGAGCACATATTTTAATAAATCAGAGGCTTCAGGATGTGTATGAGAGCCTGGACTGGCCCTCCGGAGGAGATAATGGATGCTGCCTGGTCCCTCACCAACACCCAGCAATTTCTGTATCCCCCTGGGACAGAGGGGATCAGCGTTACCCTCAGTCTGTGCACAGGGTGTACGAGTCCAGCAGCTTCTGGGATATAAAGCACTGGATTTGTGCCAGAACTGGTAACACTGCCAATTGTCCTCAGTCCCAGCCCACCGCTGGAACCATTAGACACCATTCCTATGTCACTACTATGCTCTGTGTATGGGTGAAGGTGGAAGAATAACAAAGGCATTACATACCGGTCTCTCGGGTGACATAATCGATGAAATCCCCATGGGAATTTTGGCTCCAAAATTTCCTAGGGGGTGAAGCAGCACAATGAGTTTGAAGACTAGAGAGTAGGAATATTCATGCTTTACTAAGAACTCAGTGCTTTGTGTCCCCAGAGTATCTCCCACTGAAGCAAGAGGGCCAAACACGTTACCTGCATAATTGTACCCACAATCTTGTTGGAGCATGCAACACCATTTTTTTTCCAGAAGCTACAATCCCTACTTCCTACTGCCACCTTTGCCTCCCTTTCTCCGGAAAATTCATTTTAAGACGCAAATGTGGATTCTTGCCTCAAGAGAATGCAATGCAGCATAACACGGTGATGAGACGCCTATGCCCACAGCCAGCCAGCCTGCAGGCATGAACCTGACCCCTCCGAGACCCGAATGCACACAGTCCCTGCCTTCCCTGGGAATCCTTCATCCCATGCTGCATTTGCAGCACCAGACCCTAAGTGTTCACATGGACACAGTGTGCAAGTAAGTTAACACAGCACCAAGTGAATGTGCACTAAAATTCAAGCCTCGGGAATAACACTTTACTGTGGACTCATCCCACAGCCTGGGACAACAGCACTGGCAACCCTTTTATTTTTACCTTTGTTGGTGATGTTCTTCACTGGAGGGTCTCTCTGCACAGGGCTTGACGAGGCACACTCAGCTGCAGGACTCGGTTTCCCTGTCTCCCAGGAGGTCACGTTTCTTGGGCTTGATAAGTAGTTGATGGGATGAGAGCAGTTCTGTAAGGACAGAGAAGAGATACAGGACAGTGAAAATAGTAACATGAGCCTTTGCTAGATCCAGGTCCAACCTGAAAGATTGATTTCATCTGCAATGCTGCGCCTGGGATGTTGACACGCATCCCACCCTGGTACAGCAGGCTGCTGCCTACTCAGGGTAGATTATCTTTGGGTCTGTGCTGTCCAACAGGACTGCAAGGAAGGGACACAGCCTCTGCCATGCACCCCACAAAAGTAAAATAAGACTTCTTTCCAACATCATCCCCCCAAAGGAGTCCAAACGTACACCTAGGGCCCTCCTCCAGTGGGTGCATGGTGAATGAAGGGGGCAGCAGGGCTTCCCTGCAACTTACTGTGAATGAGAGTGCTTTCTTCTTGTCCTTCATCCTCTGGATGGCATTCCTCACCTGGAGCAGAGCAAGGACATTAGAGAGGGCTGCAGCAGCTCTAGCAGAGCATGAGATCTTCCAGCGAGTCATGGAGAAAAAGCAACCACTGTTCCAGGAGCAGAGTCGGGGCTACACTGCCTTTGCACCTCCTACAGCCCCATCTACCCCCGAGTGGCATGAAGAGTGGCTGTGACTAGGGGCTGAGCCCCAGCCAGGGGCATCTCTTACCTCACTGTTGTAGATTGCATAGACCAGGAAAATGTACAGGCCCTGAAAAGGAGAGAGTGCAGGAAGGGTTAGAGATGTACAGCTGGTCTGTGCTGCTTTGCATGGGAGGAAATGAGTTTGGTGAGCACTGGAATGGGTGAGGACCGGGCTACGGGGAAGAGGCACAGCCAGTGGGCACGGCACAGCCAGGGGCAGCTGGACAGGAAGGACCTTCCTTAAAATCCCACTTGAGACCAGGCAATTCACAGATGGTCAAAGGAGCGATGGTCCCTGTCCCAGTCCCCCTTCCTTCTTCTCTCTCCCTATTTAATCTGGGGGGAGCAGGCATCCCTCATCGGGTACTCAGCTTCCTGAGCCCAAGCTCTCCTACACTCCCATTCACTCATGCGTGGAAAATCCCCCATGAAACACCTCCTTCAGATCTCAGAAGCAGAAACCACCAGGAGTTTATTGCAAGGGGAATTAAGCACTGACCCCAGAGTGGGGGGCTTTTGCCAGCTGCCTGCAGACCAAGCGCAGCATGATGCCGGGGACAGTTCCCCTGTCCCACGCAGTGACAGATCACAGCATTAACAGGATCCTGTGACCCAAATTCCATGGGTTACGGACCCAGAGGCTTTGCTCAGTGCCAATCTGGACAGAGCTTTCTCCATCCTGCCGGCATGCCAGGGCTCTGGCAGCACAGTGTTGGCTACCCTCTCCCTACCCACCGAACCGGTGCTGTTGTGTGCACACACTGAAGATCAGCGAGCAATGACACGCTCTGCCACAACCAAATGGTCAGCCACAGCTACGTGCCCAGGGCTGGTGTGGGATGTGCTCCTGGATGTTCTGGGCAGGGCCGGAGCAAACATTGCCTGGAGGCCACAGCCTGGGGCTAATTACAGCTCCAGACCAACGATTTTGGCCTTAAGGCAGCCCTATCTGGCCCACCAGATTTATGTTATATCTGTGGGGTGTTTGTTATCGCAGCTAAATAAATCAGCTGCAGCAAGAAAAGTAATCCATCTTGTCTTCGATGAGCCTGGCTCTTCATCTGCGCGCTCTTGGCAGGCGTGATGGTAGCAGTACCCTGGCGCCGTGCCATGACCTGTCCTTCAGCCAGCAATGCTGGTCACTCCCCCAGACCACATTTCTGGTCAGGCTGCCAAGGCAGGTCTTCCTTGAAATAATCATTCTGGATGAGCGCGGGGAAGGGGGGTGGGGAGTGGCGAGGTCGGCTAGGAGGAGCAAGGAAGGAGAGGAGGCCCAGCTGCGGCGGCGGAGCAGAGATGTGGCTCTGGAGGAGCCTGCTCCTGCCCATGCTCCTGCCCGCGCTCCATCTTCTCCCAGCACGGCCTGCAACGCCCCATTCCCTACGTCTCCCCACTCACAGCGAGGCAGGTGCTGGGTGGCTACAGGCCGGAGCGTGCCACGTGCTGGGACCTGCCGAGCGGGATGGATGCTCCTGCCTGGTGTCCGTCTGTCCTGCTGCGCTCAGCACACCCCACCTGGGAGCAACGCCTTCCCCTGCTCCCCCCTCACTGGTGATGGGTGAGTGGCTCTGTGAGTCCCTGCCCTGAGCTGGCCTCAGGACCATCCTGCCAGCTCCACAAGCCCGGACGAAGCCAGCAGGTTTTACCTACGCTGTTTCTTAACAGCACCTGCACCCAGCGTTGGGTGCTTGGCAGGGTGTTGGTGCTGCTACCTCCGAAATTGTGGGCTGGAGGGAAGGCACTGCCACCTGGTCACCAACATGCCAGGCAGCCCCCTCCGGCACAGCACCGCTCAGTGTTGCTTTTCAGTCACTCGGCTGAATTCCTGTGCTGCCTGGCTGGAGAAAGAGCTGTCATGTTTGGTGTCGACGCACAGAGTAGCCTTGAAAACAGGCTTGGGTTTCCGCAGATAAACAGAAAGCAGTCAAACAAACAAACAACCACAGCAGCTAAACTTCCCTGCACAACGGCAGCGCATGAAGCAGCATGCTGGCCTTAAAGGAAATTACAAGGCGAGCCATAAGACAGTCAGCAAAGAGGCTGAAATGGCATGGTTTTATCCCTGATTCCTCTCAACTCCACACCTTCCCACCAGCATCACAAATTCTCTTCTGGGGTAATCTGCAAATTGACCTGAGCTTGGTAATCAAGGGACAGAAAGCAAACAATCACAGCACATCCACCGCAAACCCCCGGCGTCTGTCCACACCGCAGCCCTGGCTTCTGCTGAGATTTAGGAGGAAGAAAAACAAAAGCAGCAATAACTTAGAAAGCAAGGGAAGAAAAATCCCAATCCAGCAAGCACCCCAGCTCCTATCTCACCCAAGGCTGGTGAGAGACTCAGGAGATGTATCACCCAGAGGACACATTTATTAATTTCAGGAAGAAAACCCCTATGACCAGCACCCGTGTTCTGACAGCCAGCATCCTGCACCTCTTCTGCTCCGTAACTACAGCATGGCATGAGCAGGGAGGGAGAACAGATGCTGTATTTAATTACAGTTAGGACAGGCCTCCTGCCACCCTTCTGATCTCCTCCAGAGTGGAGACGTGGAGAGGCGGTCCTTGCCTGGCCTTGGAACATCCCATCTGGGAGCTGACGGATGTGCGTGAGCAGCGCCCGGCTGCTGGATCAGCGCCAGGCAGAGGCAGAACATCCCTGGAGCAACCACCCACCTTGTGCACGTGGTGATAACGCCTGAATTTCACCCTTGGAGAGCTGGCCAATGCTACACTGAAACTGGCCAAGTGTGCCAGAGGGAAGCACTACAAACTCCTGATCCGTATGTGAAAACTACAGTGAGGGCCATTTTCTATTGCATCCAAAGGAAAAAGGGAGACAGGGGGAGAACTCCTTGGATCCCTGTGGCTTGGAGGGTAGTACTCAGTTTCTCTCATCATTTGGATCCCCTGCAGAAGGGGTCGTCCTGGGTGAAGGATGCTGAAAAACACACCCATGAAGGTGCAGTGCAAAGGGATGGGACTGACTGCGTGGGTATCCCCAGGCACTACTGATGGGCACAGGCGTAGCCCCACCGCGGGGAAGGGGCTCTGTGCCCGCTCCCCTGGCTGGCTCCCGCTCGGGACCCTGCCCGTGGCAGGAGCAGCGGTGCTCAGTGCTGCTCTGGCTCCATCTACAGCTGCTTCCTCTCAGGGCTTGGAAAGCCTTTGCCAACAAGGGGGACAATGCTTTGAGTCACAGGGGCAAGCACATGTTCTGGGACATTTTGACAGCGTGTGTCCCTGAGCTGCAGACGTCCTGAGGTCCTGGGAACAGAACCACCACAGCGCAGCACCGAGTGTTCCAGGCTGCTGTGGCAGATACCACTTGCTTTGCTCTCTTAACCACGTACAGGCTGGTTAAAGTTTTAAACTCCTGATGACATCAGTAAACTTAGAAGAAAATATTAAGTATTACACTCAGGGTTACATTCTGCCCTACAGAGATCCCTATTAATATTAATACTAACATCACTGTGAAGTATGGTAGCATTCAGGAGCCACAGGAGACACCAAGACAAGCAAATAGCTGTAAAAGTGTAGTCAGATGATGCTGCTTGAAGAGGAATGAAGAGGCTGAAGGAGATGACATGACTCACCCAAGGTCTTGCAAGTCAGAGCTAGAAACAGCACACACGCTTCCAGCTTCCACGTGCAAGGGTCTGATCACCAGCCCACATCTCACTTTGTTCCCCCTAACACTACTACATCCCATCAGATCCCAGTGCCGCTCTCACTGGGCACTGGGAGCATCCCTGGGTAGTGGCTGCATGGCTGCAGACAATATAGATTTTAGGGGTAAAGATTTTCAGTCCTTGATTCTTAATTCTACTTCTCATCTTCCTTTGATGAAGCTGACCCCCAGGCAAAGGGAGGGTGCTCTACCCCGTACAGTTCTCAGGCCACAACCTCTAAGTACCTCTGAACACAAACCAGATGAAAACCACCCCTCCTGGAGCACACCACCCCAGCAGTCAAGCACACCATGGCTGGGAGGCAGCCTTGAGCCCCTCTCCGTGAACAGCCCTATTTTGGCAGTGACACTGCCACACATGGCCCATCGCTACCCGGTAGGAGAGAGGCTCATTTCACTGATGCACACAGCAGCTGGGATGTCTGCCCCAGGAAACTGGACAGTTCCCATCTTAATTATCCATTGAATGACCACAGCAAAACCCCGATCAAATTCCCTATGAGCACGTCGGTTTGTAAGTGTCATTTTGAATCACAGAGTGGTTTGGGTTGGAAGGGACCTCAAAGCCCACCCAGTCCCACCCCCTGCCATACGCAAGAACAGCCTCCATCACACCCACAAGCCTCATCCAGTCTGGCCTTGGACACTTCCAGGGATGGGGCATCCACAGCTTCTCTGGGAAACCTGTCCCAGTGCCTCCTCACCCTCTCCAGGAAGAATTACTTCCTGATGTCCAATCTCAATCTCCCTCTTTCTGCTTAACCCCATCCCCCCTGCTCCTGTCACTCCCTGCCCTTGGAAGAAGTCCCCTCCAGCTTTCCTGTAGCCCCCCAGGTACTGGAAGGTGCTATAAGCTCTCCCCGGAGCCTTGCTTTCTGCAGGCTGAACACCCCCAACTCTGTCAGATGAACAAGGTCTCCAGGGCTATATTTCATATCTTGGGAACTTAGCTTCCTCAGACAAAACAGCACAGTGGCTTGGGAAAGCTGGGCTGGGCGTCAGAGCTGACACACGTCCCTGTTAGCAGAGGCAGAGTACACTGAAACACAAGACACCGCAGGTACCTGCTTGGCTGCGATGTGGGGGTCTGCCTGGTTCAGGACTCACCTGGAGGGAGTTCAGCACAATGAAGACATAAGCCCAAACGATGCTGAGGTGGACGAGGACCCCACATACCCAGGTCAGCCCCAGCACGGGCAGCAGCACCAGGATGGGCTTGGCCGTGGCCCTGTCAGGAAGAAGAGCTCAGGGTTACTTGGGCACATTTCAAACACTGTGCACTGGCACCCACCCCCCAAGCTCTCCATGGGGGTCCTTTGTCACACCCCACATCACTGAGCCCTGGCAAAGCACCCCAGCCTGCCAAACATCCTTCCTGGGTCTGCAAACCCTGCCCAGGGCCTTGCCATGACCTGCCTGGGGCATCTGCGCTAGGTTAGACAGCACGAGTGGATCTGCCCTGGAAATTGCTCCGTGGGTTTAGGAACACCCTTCTTGCAGTTTAGGAGAAACTTCCCTTGCCTCCATGCTCCAGACAGCTCTCCTCCCCCAGCAAAGGCCTTTCATACAACATGTCCACCAAGAGGTACCCAAGATGGTAAGGATGGAACAAATTCCTTTGCAATCAAAAATAGTTAAGAGGGGAAAGAATCAAACATTTTACCACCCAGCTCCCAGTGTGCCAGCTCTGCTCTTTATTTATCACTGAGAGTTAGCAAGAAGGGAGCTCTTTGACGTCATTAGCCATGAGAAAACAGCTATTTTTCCCTCAAATGCTGCTACAAGGAGGGCTTCTGTATTTGTTTTATTAGCATATGGATGTCACTGTGCCCTCCAGTGATGCCCTATCTTTGTGCTTCTGTAAATTTGGGAAAATTTATTTATGATACAGGGGAACAATGCGTGTCTAGCAGGGGTATCCGGCGCCAGCTAACAACAATAAAGATTCACAGACAATGATAAAGTAATGACTTAAGCAGCAGTTTTTTAGAGGTCTCTCTATATTGACTGATTCCAGAAGTCCACGCTGCCTCTCTCCCTATGCATGTAATCCCCACCAGCGTTACTTTCAATCCATCAAGTCCCAAATTGTGTAGAAATGCTCTTTATAACAGCAAATAGCCCAAACCCCTGCACTCTCTCCAGCTGGCACCCTTCTGCGGGACACACGCAAGTGCTAAGGAGGGGACGGGTGTGACAAATTCGGTTACGACACCTTCGAAGTGCAATGTTTTGCAAAGCAGAGAGGAGACGCTTCTGTGGATCAGATTAAAATTCCATGGAAACTGGGCACCTAACTGGGTCCCTTGGTTCCTTGAAACACCTCAAGCTGCTGCCTCACATCCCTGCAGTGATGTTTTACAGGCCTGCATGCAGCAAGCTGCTTGGCGGCACGGTGGGCTGATGTTGGCGAAGGGGCTGACAGCCCGGCAGCGTGACCTGCGCTCCCACGCACGCCGTCATCACTGCAGACGATGGGGATGCTCACACCGGCCATTCCCAGACCCCAAGTTCTGCTCCTGGTGATGCCAACGGGCCCAGCCTAGCTTTGATGGCAGCAGGCACTGCCCAGGGGCTCCTGCTGCAAAGCGTTGAGATTTCAGAGGGCGAGTACAGATATGGGAATCCAGCACTGGGTTGAAAGTGCTGGCTGGGCTTCCCAGGGGCACAGGCATCAGGGCAGACAGACTACCTCTGGGTGATGTACCATAACCCTGGAGGAGGAAACCCTTTCTGCCCTGACCCCCAACCCAGATGACATTTTGCTTCGCCAGGGCAAAGACTCTCAGCTTCACAGTAATTCCATCAGTTCATACCCAGAGCAGCACAGCTGGGAAAGCCAGCCCCTTCCCTGCTCACCATATCTGTATTCCAATCTGGTTCTCCAGGCTGCTGTTGGGAGTCAGCATCTTGGATCTCCTGCGAGCACTGGAGACAGTCACCATCACCACCCGGAACAGCACGAAGGTGTTCACCTGTCAGAGAAGAGCCGTTGGACCCAGTAACCTGTAATCTCAGCTCCAGTGGGAGGAGTCTTTTCTGCTGGGAAATCAATAACTAAGTCTTGGAATTTGGGGAAGAACCTTTCACTCCTGAGAAAGCAGTGAATAAAATACCTTAAAGAGCTATCCGCACAAGTGTCAAATTTATAAAATTTACCTTAAAACTTCTGCAGCATGTCTCCTGGTTAAGTGTCTACTCTAGATCCTTTAAACATTGCACCTTTCCCTGCTACTACGCTGCTGTGTAACGATGCTGATCCTGCTTCAAGGACATAGATGTTCCTGTGTCCATCAAACCTTTAGTTAAGGCAATGTCACCGTCAGCCTACACATGTATCTACATTCCTAATTTAACAGCCAATACAAGAACTGGTCAGCAAAATTTTCTTAAAGCACTTCTTTCTATCAAAAAGCTGCTTTGTTTAGAAGAGATTTGTGTTGCGAAAGTATATATAAAGCATAACAAAAATTCTCCTACAAAAGCACTATGAGCCCTGCGAGCACACGCCTTAGCCAGAGAAGTGCTGACACCCCTGACTCTGCAATGCTTTCCGAAAAGCAGACACGAAGGAATCACACCTTCCCGGCAGGTTTTGGCACTTACGGCCAGGATGAAGAGAACAGGCCCCACAAAGGCCCAGATGACATTGGTCTGGATGTTCAGCCAGCAGTGGTTGTCCGCCACATACTTGTTAAAGGAAGTTGCAAGGGTCACACCCACGATCACCACTGGAAGGCCTGCAGAAAAATCCCACAGATTAAACTCCAGGAAAAGCAGAGATGACCCATGCAGGTCAGCCGTGCTCCAGACAATTGCTTCAACCCCCCTGTGAGCAGACGCGCTCCAGCGTGAGCCGGCTTAGCCTCTGAAACCCCACGAGCAACATCAATTTACTGCAGCTGAAATCTGTCCCAGCTCTGCAAACCAGATTTATATGCTGTCAGCATCACTCTTCTAGGTATAAAGCATTCCAAGTCCTCAGTCCTGATCAAAGCAATTTACTTCTCAGATTGCTTTTTTAACAAAATGGACAATCAAAGTCGTAAAACAACCCAAAATATTTTAAGCAGTTGTCCCGTCCAAATAGGTGTGTGTTTTTCAAGCAGCACTGACCTAAAGAGGCTGCTCTATGATATGAAAATCAGCTTATTCAAATGAATTCTAGGTCTCTCAAGGGCTCACTCAGAATAAAGGGTGCTTAGTCAGGAACATATTTATATTTTAATTACTATCAGACAGTAGCAATGCTCTCCAAGAACTTACCATAAACTTTTTTATTGAACTCTTGGTTCTAGAAAAATAACAGACATGCTTTTTAACTTACATTCCAAGACTGGAGATTTGACAACTAAAGGTAGGAAGGCCTCTGCGGAGCAGTGGCACCCAGCTCTCCTATTGAGCTAAACCAAACATTTGTGTGGCTCCGCACCGCTACCAGGGAATCTCTCCCATCGAAACTTTTGCTAGAGAAAAAAATTGACACATTTTTCCAAGTGCCCAGCACAGAGGAGTCTGTAGATACCCCAGCCTGTCACATAGTAGAACTTCATCCTCCTGTCTTCACTCATGTTGACTGCTACCACTTTGCTCCACAGGAGAAGCCCCTCTACCAGCATCCACGAGAAGGCTGCCATGAAGAAGAGATGAAGGCAGGCAGTGACCGTGAAACACAGCACCTGGGGGGAAGAGAAATCACACACTGTTTCAGGAGTCCTCTGCGAGCTTCTGCATGTGAGCGGTCAGGAAGAAGACAGCAACCTGCAAACCATGCGGCAGAACAAGCAGAAATGTGTTTAAGCATCCACAAGCACCAGGAAATGTTCTCCAAATTCCAGCACATGGCTAGCCCAACTGCTGCAGCTCAAGCTCTTTTCATCTGTGTGACCAAACCACAGAAGAGGGATCCGATAGCATCTTTTCCTGCAGCTCTTGGACTTCCCCTGCAGGTGCCTCATCTCAGAGCTGCTTGATCCAGCCCAGGGATGTGGAAGAACACAAGGAATGGGACAGAACCGTAAGTTGCTAGTTTATAACTATGTAAATTTCCTGAAGGATTTGTTGTCAGAAACAGTCAGAAGAAAGCAAATTTTCCCAATGTGTATATACATAGCTCCACACACAGACACAACTCTTTCCTAGATGAAAGTTACAGGTCATTAATGAAACATCAATAAAAGGGATTACACTTCTGTTTGTCCTGACAATAATGCTTGAGCAGGCCTGGTGCCGCTGGCCAAACAGGACTCCTCCTCGCAGGCTCACCTGGTTGGTCTTGGCCAACTCGCTGAACATGAGCAGAGCTTCTGCTGCAGCTAACGCAAAGATGAGGTTCTTGTGCACCGTTGTGCGTTCACTCTTGGGGACACTGAGGAAGGAGAGGAAGCCCTCAGCTGAGCTCAAAGGAAAGGGTGCACATGTTCTTACTAGCCTGGCTGAGCTGTGCAGACCTGCCCGGGTGACCTGCGGCGTTATGACACTCACTGCGGAGATGGCAGGTGGACGAGGCAGGGTGCTGCCTTGGGTGCAAGCACGTGGTGCAGCTGCTCAGACCTCGGCCAGTGCTCCCAAGCAGCGAGGAGGAGGTGGAGGGAGGCACTGCTGTGCTCACAAGGCAGATTGTGCTTGCCGAATGACACAGGAGGGTTTGCAATTCAAGAAACAGTCTTTGCTCCATTTATTTTATAAAAATTAACTCTAGCAGATCAGCTTTAAGGTAAACATTGTTATGGATAACAACCTTTCCACAGGCGCTCAGGTATGTGCACAGCTCATACAAGCATCTCCACCAAAACAACCAGCACTGCACCCCTTCCCCAGCCAACAACCACTGCTGCCCTCCCTCCCCCCTGCTACTGGCCACCACTGCAGCTCCCCAGCCTCTCCCCGTGCCCCAGGATCACCCCCCACTGACAAAGGACACCTTGTTTGTACGTTTGTTCTGGAGCAAAACAGCAAACAGAAAATACAGAGAAGGCCACGAGTGCCTGGACTTTTCTTACCCAACTGCCGAGAATAAAATGAAGGTAACAGTCAAGGCACAGAAGGAAACTCCACATCCAATGAAAGTCAAGGTCTGCAGTGTGAGCTCCTCCTTGGTGGTCCTCTGCTCCAACCATGAAAAAAAAGAAGACACAACCCCCCCACGAATTAACCACAGACTGCTCGCAGTTCTGGCATCCACCGCACAGAGAACTTGCTTACCTGCATCTCATACACCTGCAGCAGCACAGCAAAGTTCGTGGTGTGGTTGCAAAAACAGGCAGTGGAGTCCGGGAGAGATGTCACCACAGAGCAGCCGGCTGTGGACCACATCCCGCCAGCCTCTGGGCTAACGTGCAGCAAAAAACAGAGAAAACACATGGAAATGACCATCCGCTTCAGCAGAAAGCCAAGGCGTTAAGGGAATTTAATTTTCCCAGAAGAAGCAGAGTTGAAAAAAGGAAGAAAAGGGTATAAAAGATCTTCATATGGCCTTCCCTTTGGCTCATGCTGTGTCTCAGCAGATTTGCTTTATCCATCAGACACAAGAAAACAGGTCTAGTGTCAGTGTGTATTAAAAAGCACGGTTCAGCCCTCACTGCCTTAAACAGAATTCAGCACTTTCACGGCCCTGTGAAGAGCTCCATTTACAGCGTGTTCCCCGAGAGCATCACTGGACCAGAGATGTCTAATCCTCTCCATTGGCTCGGCCTGCCACATGCCCTGCGCAGCTCCACCGGACTCTGGATTTGCAGGACAAACAGCCCGTCTCCAGCCAGCCAGCTGCTCCCTGCTGCCCGGGCAGCTAGCAAAGCTCCAGATCCCAATTCCCTGTGCAGCGATCACGGCTGCAGCGGGTCAGCTCTGCCCTCACTCGGCAGCACTGCACCTCTGAGCCTGCTCCAGTATCAAGGGAAGATCAAATTCAGATCAGGGTTAGTGGAAATGTTTGTGCAGCAACAAGCTGCCTCCAAAAACATCCTCTTCCCACATTCCCCAAACTGATCCTTGCCTGTTGCAAGACTGTGCCTCTACAGAGGGGTTTTTTTTGCACTTGAATGACTTAATTACCAATCCATAATATATCACAGTCTCAGTGCTCTCACTGAGGTGACATTCAGCAAAAACACATCTCAATGTCAAGCAGTATTTATGAGGCATGGGAGTTGGGCACGTCTGTTGGGCTATATATCTTGGGCCAACCCGTCTTTGTTGCAGGCAACAATCATAATTAACAGGGGTTTTCAATTTTAGTTGTATAGATATCATTAAAGGTCACTTGCTTGTGAGTGACTTTTCCAAGGGAAATCTTCCCAGAAGGGTGCTCTACTCCAGCAGAGGATGCCAGCATGCAAGGCAGGTGAAGAATTACAGATCCCTACTCTTACCGTTATATTTATATTGTTATGTTCTGTTTTGCAGTGAAAATAAAAGCTCATAAATCTGGAGACCCGAACCAAAACAAGGCACCTGAGGCTGAAGTTCCAGAAGGCACAGATGGGCCCCACCAGGTTATTGGGAAGGTCCTGCAGGCAGAGATGGAGAAGAGGAGATGACACAGCCGTGCACGTACTGTATGCAGACAGGTTCCCTCATTAGGCTGCAACAAGGCAGCACAGGACAAACACCTCCCCAGG